AAGGCATTGTCTCATTTTAATGCCTTTTTGAAAATCTTTAGACAAGGAGTTTTATTTATTTTGCAGTAAATTAGGTTCCCATTTACAGCTGATCTCTTCTAGTAACTGTCACTGAGAAGTAGTTAAGTTGCTTTGTAATGGGATAGGAAGCAGTTGGATGTTTTTGTGTAGATGGGTTGAGAATAAAGATCAGGTTCACTGTTGGTGGTGAGCAGACTGACTGTAAAAAGAGAAAGATATTGGAATGCTATCAATAGAACTGGCCACCTATGGTGGATCTGTCTTCCTTGTGTCTCTTCCTCAATCCTTCCGCCTTGCCCCCTCTCTCCCCTTTTTCAAGTCCAGCCTGAAAATCTTCCCTTTCGACCATCTTCCCCCCCTCCGGCTCAGAGGGCACTATATAGGTGCAAGTTGTTGCTGTGTCTTTCAAGTCAATTGGGAGAACATTTTTCTTGCGCATATTACATTAAATTTTATTCTGATTTTTTTCTCTGTCATTACTTATTTTAGTTTTGTTCTGATCAGGTTATTTGAGGCTTACTTTGATGTCTGGACGAGGCATGTTATTGTCCTTGTGGCACGTGAATCCAGCCCAGACTGATCTAATGAAAGGATTGCCTTTTTCTAGCCACAATTGGTCTAGAATATTGTGTATTGTTGTCTTCTGAGCAACATGGATTTGAGAAAGTAATTGTTCAGACTCTATTTAAGATCTTCGCGTTGTTCCTGCATTGTATTATGTTCTGAGGTCAAAATCCCAACTGTTCCATTCTATTGTCCAGTTCTCATCAGTGCGTCAAGTTAGATTGTGATCACTTGAAGGGCCAATTCTCGGACGTGAAAGGAAATGACATTTCAACTTTGTAGCTTCATTTAGATGTTTCCCACCTCTAGGTTATTGATCATTTCCAATTTATGGTTGAATTTAATATTTGTATTTACCTTAGTGCATGCAGGCCTGAACTTCTCAAAATGATCTCCACTTTCACTCCTCCTTCTCGTGGGGGACTGAAGTTGCTCCCTCTTAATTGGATCGTGCACCTTTCTAACCAATCTTATTAGCAGAAATATTTGTAACCTTAAACTAAGTATCTTCCAACTCTTGCTGTAACTGAATTCAACCCATTATGATGCATTAAACCTGTTACAGTTCTTGCCTGCTGCCAAAATCTTCCCCGCTTTAGTTTACGTGTTCGTTTGCAACATAGTGAAGCAACAGTAATTATTTTCCAGTAATTGTATAGTGTTTGGGATTGAATGTTCAACAAGTGTGCTGATTTAAAAGATTGAAATGGGTGGCACAGGTTGAGGACACGTGTGTACACTTGCTTTCAAAATATGGTGAATATTGTTACTTGGGGAGCAGAGTGCTATCTCTGATGTTTGCCTGCAGAAAATGTTTGTTGAACAGTCAGCATCATCAATTCACATAATTGAATAGTTCCACTGAGACCATCCATGGAGGTATTTGATATCAGATAAGTGAAGCAGAGGCCTGGCTAACTGCCCAATGATGTAACACTGTGCCTGCTGCACCAGTCTGCTCACCAGAACCTCTTTATTTCTTACATAAACCTTTGGCTGCATTCCTTGAATATACCAAGAGATGAAATCTTTCCTGATAGTTTTTGTCAGGTGTGACAGCCATTTATTTCTAAGAGTTCATTTTGTTTGAATTGAAGCAGTGGTGGTATGGAAACGTATCCAGTGTGTGAGAGTAAAGATGATTGCAGCGACCAGCCCATATTTCAACAGCAGCTTCAATCTGTTCACCTAAGTTTTAACAGGCAGTGACGTTCCTTCGGTTCTGTATTTTCTAGACGTTTCCATTGAGCATGAACAGCATAATTTGAGTTTCAATTTGTTTCTGATTTATTCAGTGCTTAATACCCAGCACTTCATAGGATTTAGTGTAAAGTGTAATCACTGCATTTTGAAGGTAATTGCGACAGTCAAATTGCACACAGCAATGTTCCACAAACAGCCATGAATTCGATGACCAATTTTATCTGGGGGCTTGTTGACCAGAACACAGCAAAACACTTTATTTGTACAGCTTTTGGGAGGAGAGATGGCTACATAACTGTACCTGAGCACAGTCCTAGTTATTATATTCATGGCAACAGATCCACTGCTTTCCTTTGGATCTGTAACAGGCTTGTTTAATTGTTTATAATATTATTATTAGAAGCAAGGAGTGGAATAGCATTAATCTGGTTCTAAAGCTTCAAGAAAAATATAAAAGTAATGAAATGTTAACCCAAGTTTAAAAACAAAACATCTGATAAATTTGGCCTTAAACTGAGAAGGCTGATAGACAACCTCATAGAAGTATCCAAGATAATGAAGGATTATAGTACGGTAAATGTTCACTAGTTGGAGAAATGCTACCAAGAGGACACAGGTTTATGATCGTCTACTGATGAATTAAAGAGGAAGTGAGAAAGAATTACATGGAGAATGGATGGATTGTTGCATTCTGTCATAAACTGCTATCAAGCGGAGTCCATCAATTATCTTGACAGGGAATTAGATAGATGCTTGGAAAAGTAGATGAGACTATGGGGAGGGAGCAAGAGAGTTAGAGGAGTTGCTTATGTGGTGAATACCACGGGAGTAGATTTGATGGGCCCAATGGCCTATTTCTGAACTCTAATGTTCTATGATTTTGAATTATACTGCAGTAGGAACTAACAGTAAAGAGGAATGAATGTGTGGAGCACTGCAACCAGTGGCCCTAACTGTTTGATATCAGGAAGTACTTCTGATTTGTGTCTACGCAATTCAGAAATGGGGACCGTTCTGGAAGGAGATTTTAATTTAGGTGCAAATTCTCACAGTGAAGTGGGAATCCAAGTAACGTTGCCTGGCAACACTCCCGCATATAGATTCTAATTGAGCCTTATTGTCCTGTGTGGATAAGATACCCACCCACTTACTGAATACACTCTGGTCTTGTTTATTCTTACATAACTGCAGAATGAGAAATTCCTCAAAGATTAGTTAATAATGAAAAGCGTAAGATGCTTGGACAAACCCCAAGATAAGTGAACTGGAAAGCTTGTACTTTTCTATAATTAGCATTGAGCTGCTGATCACTGTGACACCATCTCGCTATCAGTTAAACACAGTCCTGCCGACTCTCACAATGTGTAAAATCCGTGCCTGGATAGTGATGAACTAATTCCTATTTCACTTCAGGAAATGTCCTGCATGCATTCATCTGTTTTGCTCAATGTGTTTCTTCATTACATCCAATACCATTTTAATTTTGAGGGTCACATTGATAGGCTCTGACATTAAAACTACAGAATGTTTGTTATATAAATAAAATAGAAACACAATTAAATTTCATTTCATTACAGAACAATTAATGTGAACTCCAATCTTGAGTTAACCCTAGCTTTTGTTTATTTAAACCGAACGTCCAAGAAGTGTTTAGCTGTACGATTCATACTGGTGTGACCCAAGTCTGCTTCTAACGTCAGTGCTCCCCTGAACTGACTGGAGTCGAGCTTTGATCAGTGCCATGTGTTTGCAGGCAGCAGAGATCTCTGTGTGGTGCCTGACGTTAGCACGATGAGATCCCTGCTGTGCTGCTGGTCCATAGAATTTAAAAGGTCAAAGATTTGTAGCTGTATCAACCTTCAAACGTCAGCCTGATACCTGGAGTTAACCTGCTAGTCAAACCAGGGACGTGTAAAATCCAGGATCACACATTGTACAGCCTTATAGTACAAACCATTACATAGCAATGTCACATAGGGACTAATGGGGCATTTGGAGCAATTCTACGAGTTTAAAATCTGCTCAAAAACGTCAGGTAACCTTAAAAACAAAGAACCAAGCTCAAGGAGTTACTAAACATAAACATCCTGATTGTGAACTTTGCTAGTATTACTTATTTCACACGTTTAATCTGCCAGGATTTATTTAAACTGTATGTTAAGGCAGGGTATTATCCCATGACACCTGTTTGATTTCAAATCTATTGAATGAAAGACTTTTCACTGTGTAGATTGTTCTGTCACACTTTGTTTTCTCCGCTCTATTTCAGCTACATTGGCTAGATGACCCGTCTATTGGTACTGCAATGATGTTTACGTATTGTATGGAATAACATTTTGCTATTCTGCCTGGTCAAATACTTGGATTTTTATGATTCGTAATCATTTATTTCAACCCTGAGGAAGCGTTTGCATAAAATTGCCCTTGTATTAAAACTGTACCAAGTGTAATTATTCTCCTTGACACGTGCCTTCTGCTATCCCCATTGTGTCAGCTCTTTGTTACTATTAATGGCTTTGGGTTGAACTGTCGTGAAAGTATTTTATATAGAATAATGGAATTGCAGGGAATAAACCTGACGTATAGGGGCTCTGTGGTCTTGTCTAAACTATCTAGTACAGAATGTTATTTCATAATGTAAACCAATTTTTCTTTTAAAAAAAGCAAATATCTAGTTTCTTGTAGCCTGGTACTTACATTGCACAGTGAAATAATTCAGTACAAATTGTCCATGATATCAAGAGATGCACAATCGTGTTGGTTATCTGACATTAACAACAAGTTATTAAATTGGAGGGATTTGAAATGAATGCTCTTATCATATCATCCTTGCTTTTAAATCTCTCCACGGTCTTGCCGAGTCCTACCTCTGTAACCTTCTTAAAACCTACCGATCTACCTGCCCTACCGTTAGCGGTCAGGCTTTCAGCTTATCTGCCCCAACTCTCTGGAACTCCATTCCAGAGTCCCTGGGCCTCACGTCTTCCTTCGCCTACTTCAAGGTCCATCTCAAGACCTTCCTATTTGACCAAGCCTTCGGTCATCTTTTACTCCCATCCTACCTAAATTCAGCTCAGGTGCAAGCCCTCAACTGTCCAGTGCCTTGGAATGTCCTCCTGATGTGAAAGGCTCTATATAAATGCAATGTGTTGTTAGTGGGATGTCCTTAATGCTGAACTCTGAAAGTGTTTCCTTTTGATAACTTCAAAAAGGAGCTGAATGTCCGTCAACTCACCCTGTCATCGGACAAAGACAAATATGGCATCCGACTAAGGGCAGAACCGGATCACATGGTGCTGGGCAAGCGGCTGAAGGGAGCGTTCAGATCAGTCACAGCAGCTATCAGGGGCCTGCAGAGCAATCAGCTGGAGGAGTTCCAAACCACAGGTGAGCCTTGGGAAGATCTGCTCCTGTTTGTAGCACAGAGCCATCACGTCTTGCCCAGAATATTGACCTTGTAGTTGAGCAAGAGGACTCCTACTTTCTTCATTGCAGGCAAATAATTCCTCCAATATTGTTCTGAAGACTGGCATATTTTATAAGTATAATTCTGTCCTAATAGCTAGTACAATGGAAAACATTTTGAACACAAACTTTTTATTATCATGTCATATTTTCAGTCTACACCTTTCCTGGGAGTAAATGTGAGGACACATGGGACTTTGTAAGCCTCAAGTTGATATGTTTCTGTTGGTTCAGTTTTGAACTGCTCAGTTTAATATTGGAATAATTAACAGATGAATCCCAATGCCATCTTAGCATCTGTAGAGCTCTGATCTTAACCAGAGTAATGATGCAGATCGTCAAACAAGTGATTTCACCTTGTTTGCAGACTGGCTGTGTGGGAGATAAGAGAATACATTGCTGAAGATGAGACCGATCCCTGTCTTGCAATTACATCTGTGATTCATCAGAGTGAAAGTAATATAGCTTTAATTAGTGCAAGTCACCTGTACAATTGCCGAATTGAGCTTGAAGATTTCTTTAAATTGGTCTCTGGTCATATAGCTATTTTGTTGTGTTTCTGAAGACTGTTGCACTAAGTATAAAATGTCCTTTCGACAGGCATCATTGTTGTTGAAGGGCACGAACTCCATGAAGAGGATTTGCGCCTGATGTATGCGTTTGAGCAAAGTGCAGACAAAGCTACCCAATATGAGGCTCATTCTGATGCCCAGGTGAGTTTGAGACGCTACCTCGTGTGAAGGGCACAACATAAATGTGAGTTGTTGTTGCTGACGTTCACTATTGGTGTTTCATGGGGAGGATTGGGTTAAAATGTTCAGGGAAATTACTTATAATGGCCAGAAAGTCATGGATTATGGGGGGTATTTACTTGCCATTCATGTGCGAGGCTTTGCACTTGGCTGTGATCCCCGTCACAATTCATCCCTATGAAGGTTCGCACTATTTGTTAAGTCGGTATTAAGGGATACGGGGCAAGCGCGGGTAATTGGACTTGAGGTACAGATCAGCCATGATCTTATAGAATGGCGGAACAGGCTCGAGGGGCTGAATGGCCTACTCGTGCTTCTATGTTTCTATGAATGGACACTGGGAAACACCGTGAAGGTTGCTGTATTATTGTACGCCAAGAGACGAAAAATAGAGGAGGAAATATTGGTGAGTAAAGAAACAAAGTTTTTAATTGAACACAAGTCAGAATAATATTTCCTAGGCAAAAAGGTGCTTGAATTGAACTCATTGCGCACTGTAAATCATTGGTACACTTTGCTTTGCTTTAGGAAGTTTTCGTCTGGTTTCTTGAAATGGGAGAGCTGGAGATTGTAACTGGAGATAAAAGATGCTAAGAGCACGTGCTTGATATATCGAGCACCTTTTACTTTTGCTATTATAGGTGAGGTTAAAAGTGCTTTAACCAAACGGTTTGTTTTCCAGGCTCTGGTGCTGTTGGATGTTACACCTGACCAGTCCATGGTGGAAGAAGGAGTTGCACGAGAAGTTATAAATAGAATCCAAAAGCTCAGGAAGAAGGTCTGTTACATAATTTGTTAATGTAAAACCGTGAGAGATACAAAATAATGTTCAGTTTAAAGAAAACAATTGTAGATATCTTCTCTTCCCCCCACCCCACCCCACCCCCACCCCCATTAACTTGTGATATTAGAAAAGGGTTTTGTAAGTGAATCCCAGATGTGTGACGGCCAACGCAACAGTTTTACACTTGGAATTCAGATCAGAGGTCAACATCCTAGTGGAGTTCAGAACCTGCAACCCATTCAGGATTTGTTGATTTCAATTCCTTTCCCAATATCACTAATTAATGACCACTACAGAGGCTATAATAATTCCCTTATAAAGCCGAGGGCCAAATTGTGCATAATGCTGCATTTCTGATCATCAGACTAGGATTCAATAATGTCCCATGTTGCATTCTCTTGAAGAGTAAGTAATCCCAAAGGTGATATCTTGCACAGAGCACATTGTATTGCCTTCTGAGGCAGTGACAGTATTTGAGGTTTAAATGGTATTTGAAAACAAAAGACTTCGTCTCAACTCCTTGTGTATTGCTTTTAGTAAAATACTTCAAAATGTTAATCTAATTCTAATTTAATTTCTGTTTTAAGGGGTTTTATGTATCCCTTAATTTAACAGATTGTATTGAAGATTATGTCAAAATCTCAGTAGTTAGCTAGCTTTATCTGGCCCAAAAAATAAAGGCAAAAATGATGCTCCTTCACTATTGGTCTTAATTACAATTTTTATTTAAAAAAAATGATTTTTATGGAATGGAATTTCTTCTCAACTGTAGAAGCTGACAACCTGCCTAAATCATCTTGTATTCATTCAGTGGATACCTTCTGCTAGCTCAATCCTATTTTACCCTGAAGGCAGGAAATGATTGGTGCCTAAGCGGATTAACCCAACATCACTTTGCTCAGACATGTCAAGCTGGGCCAGGCGATGCATGGTGTGAAAGCCTCCGGACACTTGGTCACTCGGTCAGTGAGGACCTTGTGTGAAACTGGATTATCCAGTCGTACAGCAGTTAGTTTCAGCATATTGGGCAATCTTCTAACCTATGTACATTATTTACACCTTTCTGGCAGATCTACTTTTGAAATCTATTAAATATTTAAAATTGTTCTTTAAAAGAACCATGCTGTTATGCCCTGGTAATGGTTGTTGACATTGTCTGATCCTGACTGTTGCACATGGCTGTTGCCTCTCGCTCCACAACAATTTTCTTCATAAATAGATATTTTAAATTGAACTATTCAGTTTGTATAATAAAACAACTAATAACATTATAACCAGAACCATACAGTTTCCAGTCTCATATTTAGGTGAGCATTTTGTACATCTAGAGTTGTATCTAATTGTACCAATATTAGTTTTCAGATTGCTGCAGAAAACTGAATAATGCCATGCCTTGATTGTTAGTAATGGAATACAAATTGTTTTGCATTTTTGTTTCAAATTGTATTCATGTGAAATAGTTACCCCAAAACAAACTGGGTTCAATACCCGGATCTCCCTATTCTGACACAAACTGAATACATGTTTTACTCGGGAGATGTGGTTGTAAACATGAGCCATGTGCACGACTAGATTCCCGAAGCTGTGCGTGTGCATTCACAGAAATTGGGGAGGGAAAAATGTTATGGGGATGGTTGGGGGGTGGTGAGTGGTAGATCAAATTTGGGAGAATTAATTTTATTCGCCAAATATATGGTGACTTTCACCAAATATACTATGCGTTTGTGTGAAAATTAGTTTATTAAAAACGACTTTAGTAATCCTTCAGTACGTTCTGCGCCAACCTGTTTACATTCTTGTGAATGACAAACTGATTTAGAAACAATAAGAAGAATTGGTGACAATTGCATTGTGTTTGTTTGCAGGCTCACCTGGTGCCCTCCGATCAGATCACAGTATATTACAGCTCTCAACCAAGAGATTATCTGGACACAGTCATTCAGAACCACACTGAATTTATCTTGGGAACTATCAAAGCGCCATTGAAGCTTTACCCGGTACCAATTTCTGCAGAAGTGATTATACAGGAGACAACACAGGTAACGTTTGTACAGGCTGTTGCTGACTTAGGAGGAACAGTGTTGAGTTTGTGCATGTGCGCACAATAATATCCAGTTCCTACGGTTGTGCAGACCTCTATTTTTTTCTCTCTGCAATGCAGAGAAATGCTCATTGAAAATTTACAGTCAGTAAAATGCCCCGTCCATTTTGTTTCAAAATATTGATGCTCTAAACGTCAAATCTTGGAATCAACCTGGATGTTAAGCTGATCTATGCAGGAAATGAACCACATTTGATATACTTTTGTAATTCTTTGAATTTGTTTGGCATGAAGTTTCCTTTCTCCACCCTTCATCCTGTGTATCTTGTCCTCATTACTACACCAAGTCTGACATCCAAACTGAAAGACAATATGTTGCTCTGTCCCATCTGAAAACGAGCGATGGGTTTCCGTTTCAGGCACTGTCCTTCAGCAGGACTGGAACTGAGGGATGTTTTGTTACTTCTCCCTGGTGAGAAGTGTCTTTTTCCTGCTTTGCAGCGTCTCATACCAACACGACTAAGATTGGAAACTCATTGACACCAAAAATTCAACCTCTGTTCTTCCTGACACTGTCGAGGCAGCGTGTGCCACTGGACCCTCAGTGACGTTTACCCAGCACTTTGTAAAATAGAACTAATCTGGTTATTTTCATGTTAGTAGTTGAGTTTTAGTTGCACTTATTGAATGCAGCTACAGTTTTGCATAAGGTGAGGTCAGCAACTGAAACTGGGAGGTTGAGGTAATTGTGATTGCTCTCGAAGTGATGGTACTGTAATGATGTCTGAGTTAAGCTCGGAGCTGAGGAATGTGCTGTCTATGAATATCATCAAAGTAAAGCTCTCTTCCTTTCCCTGTGTCCATCTAGTTGAAGGGTTCTGATCTGGATTTGACTCTTGTGAAGGGAGCTGCAGGAGCTGCACTTTCGGAGCTTGCCTGTGCATATGTGAACCTCAAGATTGCAGTGGATGGAAAGGAACAGGGTGAGGAGTCATTGTGATGGAACCTGCAATCTGCTATTCTACATAATGTATAAAAGTGTCTTAAATAACTTATTTTTATCTAATGTATTTTTGAGGGGGTGAGGTGTTGGCAAAACATGTTTGTTCCCATTGATGTATTTAACCTCAGCCTTGGACAGAATGATGAATGAATGGATGGAGTGATATTTTATCACCAGAGTGCCACAAATGTGCCCCTGCAATAGAATCTGACACTAAATTTGATATTTTCTTGTTTCCTTCGGCAATGGCTCTTATTCGTATCAGCTACGAAATTGAACGTCTACCTGGGGCCATCAATGTCCTGATTGCTGTAATGCTAAGGCAGGTCAGAAGTGCACATCTATTGTAGGTAGTGGAAAACCTGGGAAGGAGACTTTTCATAATAATAATCCTTGCATTTGATATAGCGCCTTATCACATCATTGAGACGTCTCAAAGAATATATTGTATTTTAGCACTGTATGGCAAGTGTTTCCTACACAACTTGAATGACAAGCTGAGAAATATTTGGTAAAACAGACTAAGTTTTATTCTGACTGCTTGCTACTTGGATGGCTCCAGTGCAGTGAGCAAATGTTCTCCTGAGTCTTGAGTTGAGGTGAAACTTTACACTGTCATTTGGCAAATGCTGCTGCAACTCTGCATTAATCAATGCAATTCATTGCTATTTTAGATGGTGTGGTTTTGCTGGAGAATCCCAAGGGAGATAACATCCTAGATTTTGTCAAGTTGAAAAATGTGATTTCCATTATATTTGGGCTGCAGACCACTCGGCTGGCTATTTATCATGGTAAAACTGGTAAGTGTGAACTTTACATGGTGTGTTTTTACACTACTGCCCGTTAGCCTCTTCGTTTTTTTGTTTTTATTACTTGATGCACGGTTGACTTGTCATAGTAAGTGCAACAACTTGCATCTTTCTAGCACCTTTATGTCAAACAATGTCTCAAAAGAGCTTCCAACTCACTACTCTGAATGTCCAAACAGCTGAGCTGCTTGAGAACTGGGTCAGAGATGCTTTTAAAATCAGTGTGCTTAATGATTAAGTGGGTCAAGAAACTGAGAACTGTTGAGAAAATGTCAGTTTGATCCAGGACTATTTGTTTCCAGCTCAATACCAACTGTGCCGTTCTAGCATGCAGCCACTAGATGTCACTGGTGTCTATCCTGAAGCAAGAGAACTGTAGACACCTGTTTGTAGTAACTCTTTAGTGTGTCCATATGGAGGATGCCTTTAGGTCATTCTCATTCTAGAGTTTGATGAATTGTGAACATAATTTTCGATCCATAAATTGCTTTTTGAGGACTCTTCATGCGTTGGCACAGAGTGAGCTGTGTGTGATAGTTTGGGGCTGGAGAACACTGCCTATGTTGGGCTCCTGTAATCAGTCAATCTGTCTGTGCAGCAGCCTATAAGGTGTACATTCCTGGCTCTACATATGGCTTCCACAAAACCAGATTGATATGGAATGTAGCGACCAGGTTGCAGTGATGGTATCCTACTATAAGTGATGCTGTAGATTTCCCGACAGTTTCACTTGTGATCTGCTGTTGACTGCTAAGCCAGTGGGGAAGGTGAATGGCAACGGCAGAGTAAGTTGAAGGATTAGGCCTGCAGGTCTACTACAACAACAACAACTTGCATTTATATAGCACCCCTCACACAGGGTAAAGTCCCAGAGCACTTGACAGTGACAGAGCACAACGTCATCTAGTGAAGGTGAAGAGCTACATAAGTTAATGGTTTTGTCTCTGATTGAAGTTTCTTGTACCATATATTGACGCAGCATAATTTAAATATTTATATTATTAGCAGCCATGCTGTAACTTGGAGCATGTTTTAATCTACTCCCATCACTAGAAACTTTCCAATGGATGTTTTATCAATGAGGCAATCCCCCACTACTGCATTGGAGGATAAACTTTGACTATGAGTTCAAGCTGCAATAAGGGCATTGAACCCACAATCTTCTAACTCACAGCCATAAGTGACTGAAACAGAAATATTGCAATTTAATGGCTTTTGAAATATATCCCACTCTTATAAGCTGCTTGAGCTATTTAATTGTCTCTTTTTTATGGAGTCCATGGGGTGACTTTCACAGAAATCGGATGAACAATTTATTCAATGCGGACTTGCAATTCATAATGATTATAAATACAGTGGGTAATTTGGGTATTACAGGGAGGGAGAACAGACATGTGCAGAAACTGCAAACCTCTTAATAACAGTTGTATCTCTGAGGTTTAACTTTGAGGCAGCTTTTACCCAGAAACAATACAATAAGATTTTTTCTTGTTCTTTTGGTATAATACTTGATCAATAATTTGAATTCCTTCACAGTTATAGAGTGCACTTGGCAGATCTCATTTCTGCTCAGTTTGGATGTCTGAGCCTTTGAGGATCCAGTGACAGATTCACTAGATTAATTTCTGTTATTAAGAAAACTTTACCCACCTTCAAGCCCAAAGTTTGGCAAATTGATTCTTCTGGTCGTTGTTTTAGGAGTTCCATCCTCACAAATTCAGGGATTTTTCTGTTCATTGGTGCTAATGCACCATCAACTGGCATCACTGCAATCTGTTTCACTGCTTAAATGTCCCAGCGCCTTGGGACATCCTCCTGACGTGAAAGGCGCTATACAAATGTAATTTGTTGTTAAATTGTCATATAGAGATATAATAGTAAACTGGTCTCCCAAATTATCCAGTGTGCTATTAGAAATCGACACTTGTTTTTCAGAGCTGATCAATAAACCTCTTTTTTATACATATTATATATATATTTAATCCTGTTTCTTGGCAGATTAGAATATTTTCCTTCATGTTATGTTCACGATCATATTTATCTTAAAGTGATTATGCTGAATATTGTAAAAATAGGTTCACATTTTAAATCACAAAGCTATGTACTAATCTGTGGAAAAAAAACTTTTTGAATTTGGAACCAAAATTAAATATCAATATGCCAACACAGAGGGAACCAGAGGCCCAGTGGAGAATTGAAAGCATCAACATATGCAGCAGAGTAAATAATGATGCAAATGTAAAAATGTTTGATCAGCGCATTCACCACCTCTGGGCCTAATGTTTCAGAACTAGATGATTCCCACAAAATAGCAAAAGCAAATCAAGCGCTTTGCCACCGTGCTTGATATCTACAGTCACTTTTCACGTGAATAAATGGTGTCCTGTTTACACATTCAGTCATTTCATAATTTCAAGTCTAATCATACAGCCACAAGTCAGTGTATCTGAATGAATTATCAGGTGTGCTTGCAGAGTGAAGTGAATCTTGGTATTTCTGTAAACTTTATTGTAGGTGTCATTTCTTACAAGCTCGCTTTGCTATTAGCCCTGCTTACACTCTGTGGCTTGTGTCAGTGATAGTTTGTATACATTCTCCAGCCGCTCTGGTCACTAAGGCTGAATGAAAGCTTGCTGTTGATGTAGGATCTCAGTGTAAGTTTATGACCATTATGGAAAACAGAGTGCGGTAGAAATTGCAGCCCATTGTATAATTGGTGGTGCTGACGCCTTCTTTGGATCTATCTACTCCGATCCCAATTCCCACCCATTTCTGTTCTTTCCCTTTTTCTTTTTCTGTTCTTAATCTCCTTTGAAATGCTTTGGTCTCAGCCTCCACAGCCAGTGTGGCAAAGAGTTGTTTGTTCTAATGTGAAACATTTTTCTGTTTATGGAATAAAACTCACTGGAGAGAGAGATCATTGGCTCCCATGCATTCAGGCATCACCATCGGTGTAAGATATTCATAGAGAATTGCTGCTGCTCGCATAGTACAACACAAAGTGGCAAGGCATAGGACTGAGATAAGATTCCCAAACTCCGCTGTGCAACAGGGGAGCTTATCTGTAGAGCCTAATACTTTATCAAAGGACAAATAAAAAAAAATTAGACCTGTTTTAGTTCTACAGCCAGTGCGAGAGTGGTACCCACACAACCTTTTACTTAATAATAATAATCCTTGCATTTGATATAGTGCCTTATCATAACTTTGAGATATCTCAAAGCGCTTCACAGAATATACTGTAAAGTGAATTGACTGTATATTTTGTGGGTGAAACAGAGTGGCAAATCAGATTTTATTTTGATGAATTATTCGGTACAGCATATTGTTGCGCTTCTGATTTTACCAAATAGTCACTGAAAATTAACTCTTGGGGGACAAACGAGGGGAAAAATTGACAGCAGTAAATCTTAATCACTTTGTCAGACACAGGAATAACACAGTAAAGCTGCCTTTACTGGACACGTGGGGCTGCAAGATAACTCTTCACCTCCTCTGAAATGATGATGTTGCTCAGTTGAGGACCAATGAGGGGTGTGTCCTGGGTCACTGATTGTGTTTGTTTCTCTTGCAGAGCTGACAGCTGAGGCAGATCTGATGAGTCTCAGCAGAAAGACGCTGCACGTGACATGTGGAGCATCACCAGCAGAGATCCCGAGCACCGATACCCTGCTCTGCCAGTATACCAACCTGCAGCTGGTGAACGCCAAGCCCCAAGGTATGCTGTGAGAAAGAAAAGTCACACTGTTACATCTGGTGATGCTTCACAAGTAATTACTGTTCTGTGCAGGGAACCACAAACAGCCATGAGGTGAATACCCAATGAATCTCCACTAGTGCTCGGATCTTTAGATCAGAGAATTGTCTCTCGAAAATCAGGCCTTCCAACAACCCATTCTCTGTGGCTGGTAATGACTGCCTGTATGCACGTTTAGGTGGCAGGGTTGCTGAGGAAATGCTGCTGTCTTCAGCACTCAAAGCTGGTGCTCATCACCTGATATTTCTGCGGCAAACTGCTGATTTTATGCTAATGGCAGTGTGGGTGTATAGCTAGGGGATGTTATCTGAACATTTATCAACAGTCTTTGCGTTGTTTATTCATTATTTTTCAGTCATTTTACGGTTTCATTGAAAATATGCAAATATTCAGTTGTTATCAATTTTAACTTTATGTCCTGTGAATTATACTGTTCTTTTCACTCTTGAGTAAATAATAATAAATCTGGGCATGTGGGCAGCTAAGAGTCAGTGGTAAAGCAGGAAGCAGATGAGTGGTCCTGATGATGCAAAGTGAACAAAGCTTGAGAGGTTCAACGTTAGTTATTCACTTTCTACCTTAATCTCTCCTGATTGATATATTGTGTTTTTAATTTTCAATAGTTCCTCTCCAATATACAATGTTGAGAGCTCATTACTGAAGATGGTGGGCAATATGTACCTATATGTGATTATGGTAGTTTATGGCTCAGGATCACTGTGGCATTAACTACAGCAAATCCTCTTTAAAGGCCTTAGTTTGGTGAATCAACCGGTGAGCTACAGGCTGTCAGAGCAGATGCACAGCCTTTTTTTTGGCACTTGAATCTGGCCGTTGTTTGGCACAGTTTCAAGGAAACTGCACAGCAAGGTCTGAGTTCCATTTTAACTCTTTCTGGTGCCCAGATTCTTTTTGCCATCTCATTGCTCGGAGATTTAATGCAGATTTCACTCTGAAGACGTGTTCAAAGCTTTGGCAAAATACCAGCAGCGCTAAAGATTTGCTTAAATCTAGACACTTCTCACTTTAATTAAGCAGCAAAACATTGCAGGTGCCAGACAGGCTTGGAATCACATGATGAATAGCAAGCTCAGTGAGTGATCGTTCCTGGCTGATTGAGAATGGCTTTGCTGTCGGTGGATGTGCCCATGTGCCAATGACCCGCAGTCCTTTACTCAGCACTACTCTCTTGAACGTATGACGTATTACGAGGTCATTCAGCCCATTTTCTCGTGTCTGCCTTTACTCTTCTAAGAAGCTATCCATCATCATCCCAGTTCCCCACTTTCTCCAAGCTGTCTGGTATCCTTCCTCTTCAAATTATTTTCTAGTTCTCTCTAAAATACCCCAAAAAGATAATAAATAATAATAATGCTTACATTTAGTACAGCACCTTTCAGGTTGGGAGAATATCTCAAAACGCTTCACAGGATATACTGTATATTGTAGTGACTGTTTGGTGGGCGAACTCGAATATCCTTATTTTGCAGTTTTCTTTGAGGCAGTTTTTAAATCCAAGCTTACGTGGCAATCAGAACAAAGCGAAGATGTACAAGAATTAGCATACGTCTTCCTCATTATTTCAATATTGTTTGAGTCCCACACACCTCGCTGCTACTGTTCTGCTTCACTGCCACAAACTCTAGGCAATTGTTTCCATTGCTGGTTTGCTCAGGGATCCAAACACCACTGTCAGGCTTTTGAAATTCCATGATGCAGGACAGCACATAACTATTTGTGACTGTGGGAGCTTGAATGCTGCTTCTCCGGATGTCAGCGCAGCAAATTTACCAAACTATTTGAAACAAATGTACAGGGAACTAAAACTGCCTTCAATAATATTCAAACAAATTCAACAACAGTTTAAATTTAAACAGTACCTTTCACATTGGGATGATGTCTCAAAGCGCATTCCCACCCTGATGTTACACCCTGATTTTAATATCACAAGTACAGATTACGGAATCTTTAAGTTTTGTGATAAGCTAAGTCTGAAGCTGAATTTGCTGCTTGTTTTATTGCAGAATGCCTGAAGGGAAGCTCGGCCTCCCTCCTGCTGGAAAACCCAGTTGGTGAGAATGGGCTGTCCTACCTGGGCCTGATCCAGGAGACGGCGAAAGTGTTTGGCCTCCGAAGCAGGAAGCTGAAGTTGTGCCTGGGTGATAGCAGAGCTGAAGGTACGTCGGCCATTTCCCGCTATATTTATACGAACTAATTTCTCCGCAATGCAGTGTTGCTGCTGCTGCTGCTGCTGTTCCCTTGCACTGTCGCGGTGATCTGGACGGTGGGAGGTGACCCTGGGCAGTGGTGACCTCACTCCATGTGTACTGTCCAGATGCACTAATGATGATGCATCACTGAAAGTCTAAAGTAACTCAGTCAATGTTTAAATAACAATTTGTTTCTAATGTAACTGTATTTGGCATCAATCTGTTTTATATTCTCACTAAACAATATTAGAACTAAGAGACTGATATCAGTAATAGTTTAATATATTGACTTGCCGTTTAGGTAGGCCAATAAAGTGGGTTACCTCGTCAGGAGCGTTCACTTTCAAAACTTCAAAATGGGTCATGGTCTATTGTAAGCCCTCTCGTGGGGATAGGCGCCTGGCGTTAGTAAAGTTAGCAAGTCTTTGATGAATGTTACTCAGTGTTTGTTTGTCACCCAAAGAGTGACATTTGTATTGTGTGCCGGACGGTCCCCGAAACCTTCAAAACGGCCAGAATGAATGAGAGATTAAACTGGATTTGCCATGTTGCAACTGGGTCTATATCAGCTACACAACCTTGTAAATTAATGCCTGGCCCATGGTGTGATATTCTACAGAGCAGTATTAGTTGTAAAGACTTGTAGCCAAAACCCCAGCAAAGAAATAAAGGTTAGCTCCACGTTCCTAATGGATGGTCTAAACAGCCCAACTCATTCTCCAGGATTCTGAGAAAAATCCTTTTTTGTGAAGCTTCAATTAAAAAAAAATGTTTTTGCAAATGTTGGAATAATGTTTTGGTTTAGTGTTTGTTACAGGGTGATGTCGCCTTTACTAAATGACCTATAGTAAATATATTGTAAATGATCTATAGTTTTCAGGGTTGGCTAATTGTGTGTCACCTTTATACAAAGCTGGTTAGCGTCCATCGAGCCAACTCTGGGTCACTTTACTCTTAATGTTTTCTAAAAAGTCTGTGGTATGAAAGCTGCTAACCAAAATCTTTCTTTTATTTCCTCAGAAATTACAAATAACACTTCTATGAAAATGCTGAGCACAAAGACCATATATGTTCATGTTCTGCCCACAATCGCTGCATCCTAAGAACTATACTGAGATTTCAGCTCTTATTGGGGAAATACTTGGTGCTATTACTACTCTTTAGTGTCATTAATGGAAAATCCCATATATACACATTTACAATTGCAAATGATCTCTTTGCCTTGAGTACTGAATCAAAAAAGATGTTTGGATTACGATACATAAAATTATTGAAAGTTTACTTTCCCATTTTGGTTGGTGTTGACATTTGTCCCTTTAGGTACGGGTCAGGTTACTGCTGGCTAGAGAACATACAACAGGAGTGACATTCCCTTATGCTCTGAGTACTTGATATCAGCCATGGCATTGTGAGGAGGAGCCCCACAGGAGAGAGTCCATCTGGGCTGCCAACTGCTATATGATGGCCTAGAACAGAACTGAAGGAGATGCTGGCCACGGGCTGGGGGAGAATCCAGTCCTCAAACGTTTGACATCTAGATACCAACAGTGGATATACAAAAGCAATTCTGTCTTAAATTGACAGATATTTGATCGAAAAACACTCTCCTTTTCCCTCCGTTGTATATTCTGTTTATCATGGACTTTTGGAAAAGCACCAAACCTTGTGCTGGGGTTTATTCACCATTCTGTTCAATTTCCTCCACGCAAGATGTGTGAAAGGATAACTTTCTTATTTTATATCTCTTCTCTGGGGTAGCGACAGTATCCAAAAGCCAAACTGAGAATAGGCCACTTACTGTGCTGGGAATGTGTATTCTCCCAGTCATGTGGAAACAACGAAAGTAAGCAAAAAAAAAAGTCACTAATTGTGACCCTATTAGGAAACATTGGGTGCCTGATTCCCATTAAAACTGTGGGTACATCTTTATATGGCTCCTTGTAACATACAAGTGATTCTCTCCTCCCAGCCCAGCATGTGGTGCACAAACCCAATCTCCAACTGAAATTATTCAATGTTAATTTTTTTAAAAAATCACTAAATAGACGCTATGATGGGTTTCACCCAATATAATTTCCAATAAGCAGCTTGTATATCAAATAAATCTGCAGGTTTATTTGGATAGGTTCATTAAAGGGATAAATATTAGTTCTGTAGAAATCGAATGATAATTCCGTTCAGCGGGTTTTGGGGCTGTGCCTATGTATATGTGATTCTGATTAAACTATTCCGCCTGCCAACTTCATGTCGAGAACTAGGATCCCAGGCGCTGGAGTGTTGTGCTTTAAATGCAGTTCAGTAACTTGCTGCAAAGCTGCAGTGCTGCTTTGTGAACCTTGTGTAACTGCATTACAAGCCATCGCAGATGAACTGGGGAGGAGTTGGACAATTCAGGACTGGCACAGTTGCTGAAGCAGAATTTGCACACGCTTGCACTCATCAAACAAGTTGCACATGTGCCTGGAGTTTCATTTCTGAGATTTGTTGAATCTTCATTTCCTCTGTAATAATAAACAAGCTGTGGGGAATGGTGAGTGTCCCTAGGCTTGAATTTAGCATCTTGTTTACATCTTGGATGTTTCTGGATAGTATCTCAGAAACCAGACCGGTGACGAGGACGCCTGCCACTGCTTTGTGCTGCTTCTCATTAAGATACTGAGCAATGCACTAAGAGAGGAGCTGGAAGTTTGTTTCTGTTATGGTGTATTTCACTGTTTTCCCAAATGTTCAGAGTTCAGTTCCTGTGGAGTGTGTTTTAGGAGGAAGGAAGCCTTCGAACCTGTTCCATCATTTTTGATTATGGGAGATCTTCTAATCCTGCTTCCCTGCTTTTGCCATATCCCCTAATCCCTATACTTTGCCAAGTGTCCCTCTGTCTATTCTGATGCTCCTCTCAGTTAGACTTCTTAAGTGTTGCCAGCTTTTGCCCTGATGGTGGCGTTCAGTCATGAGACAACACTGAGAAATATTGCAGAGCAGCGGATCCCCAAGCTGGGGAGGCAACCACAGCAGAAACCCGGCCAGTTACTGCTGGATCAGAAGGAAAACTGACGAGGAAAACTGATCCAGCGCCTCGAACAAAAAATGTGCAAAATTAAATGGTTCACAGTTGCCCTGGCTATTCTGTTGTCCCCAATGGTAACCTTGACAGACTAGTGAGGCATGTTGTATCTTGGTGTGGTTGGTGGATGTTCAGGCCGTGGAATAAATTTGCCAACAAAATACAATCACCACACTTTACGGTCTATCAGGTGAAGCAATTTGAGACATCCTCATAACTTGAAAGGCACTCCGTCAAATGGAAGCGGTATTATAAAGCAGTCAGTCCAGCCACATGGCCAGTTATTTCCAAAAGCCGATTGTGGATGCATTTCATACATTGGTGACTGCAGATTTCTGTGACTTCCAATTTGTCTATTTAGGTCAAGCAATGAGGCTAAGACTAGTGCTTCCCATCATCCTGCAAATATCATAAATTTGACTGTCATCCAACCAACAATACAGTGGATTATACACTAACAGTATACACTATGGCTAAACTAGATTTAATAACCCAGATTGAAGATGTATATGTGCAGACTTACTGAATCTTCCACAGTTGCTTTAAGCCGATTCAGACTGTACCTTGTGGAGTTTGAGGCTTTACAAGGTGTAATAGAAAATGAATTTGGGAAAGATCAGCGGGAGCTTGGGACTGACTGAGCGGTTACACTTGTTGCTGTGACCTATTTTCTTGAGCATGGGAAAACTAAAGGACAGTCTTGCTATAGCTCTAAGGAAACTTGTTAAATGAAGAAAGGATTATTCCCAAGGGTCCTGTTTCGAGTAGAGCTAGAAGCCTTGTGACCTGGTTTATATGGGGGGAAACGAGTAATGTGGGGGCTTAGAGGCAAGTGTTAAATAAACTGCAGAGGATGATGGGTTAAAAACTACTCAAACCGCGCCTGATGTGCAGCAAAGTGGGCTGACCAAAGTTCTCGTTAGCTGAGCAGTTTTGTAGGTTTATAAATGCAGCAGCGAAAGTCTCAGCAGTAAATGGAACATGAAAAAATGGTCAACCGTGCTCCAGTAGTCTCACACTGAGGCAATGCTATTACTTAAAAGCCTTATAATGAGGGTAGATGTATTTTTAACCATTATTAACACAATGACCTTCACTTGCTCTACTTACCATATGTGGTAACAATTGACAGCATACGTAGGTACATGTCAGATCCTCCCTGGAACCTAATAGAATTTTTAATTGACTCCACAAAGATGGCAGTGTGACAGTCTCCCTATGGAGTTGAACACAATTGATTCCCATTGAAAGTCCACACTGAAGTCCTGACTATTCAGGGCATTGTAACTTTCCTGTACCCTAGAATGCCTGGAAGCCATGCTAACTTTGTGCTATTAATAGAATGAATAGACACCAGGTGAAATGTCCCATAGCACCATCATTTGTTGCTGATATTAATAGACATCAGAGGTATGGGTAAGGAGATTACACTGTAACACACTAGATCTTTGTTTCTTGCTAACCTACATTGCAGTGCTCACCATGTATTGGGCTAGTTATATTTGGCAATCCACCAGAATGCAGCATAAACTGGGGAAAATCCTTTGTTGAAGTAGAATCTGTACATTATTTTAAAGGGGAATTGGATAGGTGCTTGATAACAAACAATATTGAAGGGCACTGGGTGCGAGCAGGAGAGTGGGGTAGAGTGGGTGGCTCAGAGAGAAAATCATCAGGGTCAACTTGATAGGTTGAAGGGCCTGTATCTGGTCTGTAACGCTGTGTCTTATCTTGTTTCAGGCCAGGGAGGGGAATGAAATGTGGAAAGAGGGTTGGGGCTATAATGGATCATTTCAGAAGTCTGGTGAATGGATGTCTCATTCCGAAGTTCAGTTAGATCTTCAGATTTTTTTCCCCTCACTTTGAAGTTCAGTGGAAATTAAGCCATTAATAGTTCCGAAGAATAATTATATTTGGTAATGATTCCCAGTTACAGGATTAATCTGAGGAGAAGGCCTCAGTGTAAGACAAAGGGGATGTAAAGCAGCTTGAAGCTATTGTTTACTGAAGAATGTAGGTCACTTAGCAGTTTGGCTCTTGTCCTTTACATGTGACCACGTGTTTAATGTCATGCCTCCCCTCCATGAATGAAATCGTGAAAGAGTAATTCCACATGTCACGAATAGTCGGTTTATTCTCTGCTTCTCCACAGCAACAACACAAAGAGTAGGGTAAACCAAGCTTAGGCAGCTCGATCAGGAGTGGACGAGGACCTGGAAACCACCTGCCAAGACCAACACCTTGACTGGTATCCACTGCAGTTATAAACTGATATGAATCCACTCAGTACTGCTCAGAAATGGTCAGTTGTACTTCAAATTTAAAACAACTTGCAACTAACTGGTTCTTTAACATTCAAACCTTCAAACTCTTCTAGCCCCATTAACTTGGCCAATTTTTTAAAAATAATTTATTGGACTAAAGTTTGTATTGATCAGTGAGGGATGTGTATGTTGGGGACACCCACTCTTCCCACTGCCAGCCTAGTTTAAGTTATAGTGAAGCTGCAGGAGATAAGGGCTTAAGAATTTGCTTGCAAAAGAAGATCCAGTTCGCCTTCCTGGCAGTCGGTTGACATGTGTCCCAAACTATACACTATCCCCAGATATTATTTTCTAACAAATCTATCTCATATGTTCTTGAAACAAACAACACTTTGATGATTCCTCAACTCAACTTCCTCACAAGATTGGTTTACAAAAAGAATGCCCTTTGGCCCATTTGATCTCATCCCTAGAGATTACTTCTATCATCTTCCCATCAAAGCATCAACCTGTTTTTTTTTAGAAATTGGTCCAAGGTCCATCTTGGAAATTACCCCGTCAAAAGCACAGTAGTAGCTGCTCTGTTTCAGGTTGCAATCATGGCTGCAGTGGTTTTTAGCCTATTTTTGGCCATTAAAGGTCCACAAAGTATTGACAACAGTTGGAAAGTAAAATGTCTTCTGGCAAAACAGCTATAACCACAAATCCAGAGGTTTTGTTTAGGGATTTCATAGCGACCACTTAGTGAGTAATCCCAATTAATTTCTATTAGTTTTCAAATGGATTTGGTTTTATTGGAAATCAAATACATTAAAATATACAGCACCGAAACAGGCCATTCAGCCCAACCGGTCTATGACGGTGTTTATGCTCCACATGAGCCCCTCCTGCCCTTCCTCACTAAGCCTTCAAGCAGAACCTTCTATTCCTTTCTCCCTCATGTACCTCTCTAGCTTTCCCTTAAATACATCTATGCTATTTGCCTCAACAACTCCTTGTGGAGCATGTTCCATATTCCCACTATTCTCTGTGTGAAGACATTTCTTCTATCTTCCCTATTTGATCTATTTGTGACTATTTTATATTGATGGCCCCTGGTTTTGGTCTCCCCCACAAGTGGAAACATCTTCCCTATGTCTACCCTATCAAAACCTTTCATCGTTTTAAAGACCTCTATCAGGTCACCCCTTACTCTCCTCTTTTCAAGAGAAAAGACCCCAAGCATGTTCAGCCTTTCCTGATAGGTGTAACATCTCAGTTCTGGGATCATCCATGTGAATCTCTTTTGCACCCTCTCCAGTGCCTCTACACCCCTTCTATAATGTGGGGACCAGAACTGCACACAGTATTCTAAGTGTGGTCTAACCCAGGTTCTATAAATGTTTGAGATGAAAAGATTTAGCACACTCACGTTCAGGAGAGGGGGAAGGGAAAGAGTTTGGAATAAAATGTGTGTGTGTTCTGTAAGCACCTGAGCAATAATCAGTTCAGATTCAGGTTATTTTCAGCTGTGGAGATAGTTGTAGAACAGTTCATGAATTAGCCGGAGTCCACACATTTCTAACTAGTGCTTTCATTATAATTGGCTAATTAGTATTTTTATTCATTATTTTTTGGGGGGTAACCAATACCAATTCTGAAATGTATCTCTTCTGAAGTGGTATTAGGTTTCTCAGCATTTGCTAAAATTTTCCTGGAATAAGAAGTAAAAGAAGGAATGGATCTGGAATAAGTAAAGTCAGGGAGGAACATGGCAGATACTTTGCTCTGAGGCATGATCTAGTTTGTACCTAAAAGCAGCTAATTTAATAATTACCCTCGAGATACCAGCACAAATGAGCCCGAGCTTGCTGAAAGTGTTTCTGCTCTAGGCTCTCATGACTTGTGAATCTCATCCACACTGTTTTACAAATTAATGGAAGATATTCTTACCATAATCAAGTCTGTCATTGGACGGTCTAAAAAAGTAGACTTAAGTGGGGTCAAATTGCAGGAAAAAATTGTCAGCATTACTACAAGCTGTGGTTAATAAGTGCAGTATTTTTAGCCTTGGGCTGCTTCTACAATTGGTACACAACAGGACTGAATACATTCAGTAACAATGAACAAAACGCTTGGTGATTTTGCATGGCTCCTCTGTGCTTCCACAAATTTGACAACTTTTTTGCAGCAACGTTTCTGGGGAAAGAGGTGTACTGAACATGATTTCAATCATAGAACTGTTTCCCTTTTCCTTTTAGTCATTTTTCTCCCCATTCCTAGAACTGCAATCAGCTGCTGGAAAGCAATCAAGTCCAAATGGTCTATTCCTGTTTCTCCTTAATGTGTGTTCAATTACTTACAACACCCCCCTCCTCCCCAGAACGGCCCTGGATTATCAGATAGACTGTAAACTCAAGTCCAAATGTGAAGTATGAAGCTTGAAGCTTTCAAAGAGGGATGGCGTATATTGTCTGATGGGAAACAGTATTGGAGGTAAAGGGTTATGTCGAAGATCTGATGTACTAATCCTTGTTGGTCAGGGATTCTCTGTTGACTGACTCAAAATCTTGCCAGTGAGAATGGTCTCTGCCCTGTTGGGGCTATATTTTAACTGTTCGCCTGATATGTTAAAGGTCCTTGACTGATGCCAGGACATACGCAAAGGGTTGTGAAACAGACTGCCTCAGAAGCCACATAAACAGAAGTTGATTTGAGGAGATAGATGGGGCAAGTGAGGACATGCAGGTGTATGGAGAGTTGGCAAATGAAATTAAGTATTTTTCATAGACTCCAGCGTTATGGAGGGGGCTCCATTACCAGAAGAGATACTCGTCTTCCTTCCTATGTTGCAAAGTTTCCAAAAACCCACCCTGAACATGTTCCTACCTATTACCTGGAAACCCCCCCGAATGATTGTGTTGAGATACAATGACGGCTGTATTTGGGTGGGACACAGAGATGAAGAGAGAGAAGGTATTATTTAACAATCAATCTGGTTTCCCATAAATATATGTAGTCAGATAAAGGAAGTGTCTGACAAAGTAGTGTAATTGTAGATGATTTCAATTAACCAACGATTAAGTGGAGTAAATGGTGACATCCTCTGGGGAGAAGCACATTGAAATCGATGCAGTGAAGTGGTCAGACACAGGTTTTGAAACATGTGATTAAGGTCTCAAAACACTATGAGACGGTCTCCGGACAGGAAGGTGCTGTATAACAGCAGCTCTTTGCCCGCGGGCAGGGCGGTGGGTGCAGTGTGCCACGGAGCAGCCTTTGGGGCTGTGTAAAGAGGTGGGTGTCTCAGAACCAGAAAGCGATGCTGCGACTTGGATTATCGGGTCACCGTTGGCCACTTTATGGCAAAACAGATCTGGTTCATGTGGTTTTCTGGCTCCAGCTGTAATGCCATGTTGGTTACCCCACAAACCTGACTGTTCTCCAGCTGCTTGTCCAGTTAGGACCACCCTCCCCGTTAGGGCTTTGGCTGCAGGATTAACAGGAGCTGAGTGGGAGGATTCCCTGCCCCCCCCCCCCACACCCCCCCAGTGACCGACCTGCCCTCCCAGGTCCTGACAATGAGCCATCAGCAGCGAGTGCCCTGGAGTCAATGGGATGGGATTAAATACGAGCCCTCAGCGAGAAAGCTCTCCCGCACATCCCTCCATTAGTCCCTCTTCCTCCTACTCCAGGATCCCCTTCCCCAGCCCCACCCCCGGGATTACCGACCCCCCCCCACACACACACGGCCCCTCTCCCCGCTGCTCCGCCACTGGAAGCGCTATTGTGGCTGAACGTTTAAATGGGGTTTGGTGCGTGAGGCGGTGGGTCAGTCAGTGAGCGCTGAGCGGCCGAGAGCTGCGGCAGGTGAGAGGCATCGCCTCCCTCTCCCTCTGCACCAGCACAGTCACACAGAGGGTGTGCGCACCCCCCCCACACACACCCCCCCCCCACACACACACACACACACACACAGCAGCTCTGCTCTGCTCCACTCCGCCTTTATTCCTGCTCTGACCTTGAGCTGCTCCGGATGTGCCGCAGCTTCTGAAACCTCTCCGCAGCGCAAGGATTGAGCTGAAGCCCAAGTGAGTGAGTGTGAGTGAGTGAGTGAGTGAGTGTGAGGCTGCACCTGTTAACCTGTGGACTGGGAATATAATCCTCGTCCTAAAGTCTCTCTGTTTTCAAAGGGCTGAATGTGATGTGCACGGATGGCCGTGGACCATATCGTGTGTGTGTGCGTTTGTGTGTTTGCTGAACGTGTTATCTCTCTCTCTCTCTCTATCCTATTGCCATACTTTTCATTCGATATTTAGTTATCTGTGTAAATGATCGTTGTTATCCGGTACTTTAACCACAACGCGCGCGGTGACGGCTTCAGTCAGAGAGCGAGGATGTTTAAAATGGATCAAGGTTTTATTTATTTATGTATTTGTTTGTTTGTTTGTTTACTGTACGAGGCTGAATTGTTTCTATATTTGCAGGTGTCACAGTATCTCCAGGCTGGGAGTGTAGGGAGTGAATGGGAAATGTAGATAGATTGATTATAGCGGCCAATTTCGTGGTGGTGGGTGTCAGATGTTGACAGTAATCTATACAGAGTGTGTGTGTGTGTCTGTGTGTGTGTCTGTGTGTGTCTATGTGTGTGTCTGTGTGTGTCTCTTGTGTCTCTGTGTGTGTATGTGCTCATCCTGCGACTGTGAAATTAGCACATTCCCTGTTTCCATAATGTTGAGGGTTGTATTTCTGATCGGAAACTGCCATTCAGCGTGAGTTCCAGATTATAATTATTGGGGTTGGAATGAAATTAAAGGGTACAGGTGCACTCGACCCTCCAGGAGGCAAATCTGTTGTAACATGTTATTTTAGAAACGGTATCAGAGAAACCTGTACTAAACAGCAGCTCCACAAAGTCCCATATTGCTCTAACCCGAGACGTGGGGAATGAGATAAGAAGCGTTTTCTTCCCCAGAAGCTACTTCGTGAAGATGTGTCTAGTTCTGTTGTGTTGAGTGGTTACTTAATGGGTTAGTATATGGTCCTCGCCCCCACCTCGCATTAAAACAATTCTTGTAGGAATTCTGCAAATTACTGACTGAAAATGGGTGTCAGATTCTCACCTCTGAGTCACAAGGCTGTGGGTTCCAATCCCACATCGGGATTTGGAATCGCATGGTCTAAATGGCGCTCCAATGCTGTGGGGGGTGGGGGGTGGGGGGGACATGCTGCATTGTGGAGGTGCCATCCTTAAGATGAGACATTAAACTGCAGTCCCATTTGTCTGTTCAGATGTCCAAGATTCCACGGCACTCTTCGAAACGCGAAGGGAGGTTTCCCACCGGGTCCCGGTCAATAATCCCGCAGATGAAATCGGGCATTCAGTGGATGTTTGTGAGACGTTGCTCGTGCAAATTGTTCGCCCATAAAGTAGTCACTGCATTTTTCAGTAAATCCTGTGAAGCGCTTTGCAACATCCTTCTGGCATTCTGTGAATGCAGGGATTATTATAATAAAATTGGCCGCTTGCTGTTCTTTTTAAAAACTATTCAGGTGAAGCACAATGGCGTGTGATGCCTTCGAATTGCTGGGAGTTTGTCCGTCAGTCACACTCTTGCCTCTGGGTCAGAAGGTTGTGGGTTCATGCCCCATATTGGGACAATTTAGAGTTTGCATTCTAAAATTATTCTGGAAGAGGCAACACCAGGAAGAGATTGCCATCATCTTCTCCAGTGTTTGCGTTGTTCTTCAGGGAATGTCTTGTTTTGCCGATTTCCTGGTCCCGGTTCTGTCGTATATTGGGATTAAAACCATATCTTTTGTTCCACCAAAGTCCAAAATTATCCCGGTTGTCTGTCTGTGCTGGTGCTCGCTCATGATACTGCCTGCCAGGAACATGCAATGTCCTAGTTTGGCAGCTTCCCCCTTTACTCAGGGCTGTTAGATATTCTGGGATATTGCTCAGCAATTGGCCATTCTATCGATATATCGATATGCTGGTGCCTTGGGACGTTTTTTTGATGTGAAAGGTATTATACTAATATAATTTGTTGTTGTTGTTATGTAAACTGGTGCAGTGTCTGCCTTTCCGACGCACAGCACTGCAGGTTCCCTGTGCAGGGGATCACAGGAGGGATTTAAAAGGGAGGTTCAAAAACAATGCTTACATAGAGAGAGCTGGAACCTGGAATTCTGTTTTAATATGGAATTAGATAGTTACTTGAAGATGAGTTATTTAACAGGGTATCGTGAGCGAGCACCAGCACAGACATGATGGGGAGAGAGAGAGAGCAGGGAATGGGGTTAGAGTAGAGAACTCCAGTGGGGGAGTGAGCACCAGCAACACAATGGCCTACTCCTGTGCTGTCATTTTTGATTCTAAACAATAAATCAAAATATCAGGTCAGAAACGCTGAGGCAACGGATACTGTGTCATCAGAGAAGATCTTCACCGAATAAAGAGACTAACTGCTTGGTGCAAGACCTCACTGAAGGAGCGATTGCCATGGGAGATTATACAAATATGCTGATTTTTGTTGTGAACACAGGACATTATCCTACTGTACAGTCAGATCTTAGCTACCACTCCACAAGTTGAGGTAATCATTTATTGGGAGGGGTTTTGGCCAGGAATTCTAGGGCTGCGGCTGACTCCCAGTGATGATTAATGGAGCGGGAGATCATTATTTATATTCGGCTTTTATTTAATTTGATTTTGAAGCCGTGTTGCAGGCACAGGTCAGGGTGATGTATATCTGCACTGAATGTCGCTCTGGCTTTGAACAAAGTTGAGGAATTGATTTTTTAAAAGAAAATCAGTTCAAGCCAAGTGTTAAGGTCACACATTTACTTTTAACGTTTCTATCAAAGGGAAAGTATTTCAATTGTTGGATGGTAACAATGCAGGAGTTAGTACTGAAGCAATGACTTGAGACCCATTGTAAAATGGCAGTACACTGCGTACTGCTGTACCTTTACTGTACAAACAGCAGCTCAGTGTGCAGGGGGTTTGGAACAGGGCAAGTATTCAGCATCAGAAGAATGCAACCTCTGATTCCTGTTAACAGTCAGATAAAAGCCGTGTCTGTACCTGCAATGGTATATAATTTCCAGGGTGTATTTTCTTTATTAATGGTACAGTATATTGATAATATAATAATAATAATCCCCATCCCCCAGAGGATCCAATTCAAGATCCTCATCCTCCCCTACAAGGCCATTCACGGCCTCGCTCCCTCCTATCTCTCCGACCTACTATCCCCCTACTTACCCGCCCGTACCCTCCACTCCTCTGGCTCCGGTCTGCTCCACATCCCCCGCCCCAACCGCCCGACCATCGGTGGCCTTCAGCCTCTCAGCCCCTCGGCTCTGGAACTTCATCCCCCAGTGCCTTCGCCGCCTCCTCCCTTTCCTCCTTCAAGGCCGGTCTCAAGATCTTTCTCTTTGACCGTACCTTCAGCTCCCCTCTCAACTTTCTACCCCCTCCTCGCTCCCTCCCTTCCCTCCCCTCACCCTGACCATTTCCCCACTGCTCGGGTCCTGACCCAACTGTCCAGCGCCTTGGGACGTCCTCCTGACGTGAAAGGCGCTCTATAAATGAAATCTTGTTGTTGTTGTTGTGTTCAATATCACTTCTTTGAGACATCTCAAAGCGCTTCACAGAATATACCGTAAAGTGAATTAACTGTATATTTTGTGGGCAAAACGCGGCAGCCAATTGCGCACAGAACATATTGATGGTGAGTGCATGTCAGAAGGTGAACAATTCTGTGGTGTCACAATATAACAATCATTCAACTACACAATGATACCTACTCAGTGAAGAATAGTGCTTTACAAAACACCTTACCAAGCATCACTGAATATTGGGGTTGAATTTCACCTTGATGCACTTAAGATGCTATTTTTAAAAATGCAATAGATTTTTTTATTCAATCTTAAAGTGCTCAGCTCTTCCCATTGAAATATAATAGCAACATGTGTTAGTAATTAGCCTGTCCACCAGACCTGCAGCCAAACTCTCAGTGATCGGGTAATGTTTGTGCGCCTACGTTCGACAGAATTCTCCAAAGGTCTGAGGGTCTGCACCGTGGCAACTGCCACCACATTGCGCAAATCCCCATGCAGCCATTTGTGATGAGCAAAGAGGGAGCACCTTTGGATGTCTATACAAATGTAATTTGTAGTTGTTAAAGTGCTATAACATGTTAGTTCCTCTTCGCTCTGCAGTGACCTGTCTCTCAGCACATCACATCCCGCCCTCCCTCCCCGAGCCCTCTCTCACTCTCTCTCTCTCTGCCAGTGGTTGCCAGGTGCCAACACAAGCCAAGTGCCTGTCACAGTGAAGCACTAACTCCATCTGTAGCTTTCGCCACATGAATTTGACTCCCTTCCCCATCTTCAGATCGTGCCTGAAGACCTTCCTCTTCGACCAGTGCCTGCAGTCACCTCCCTCCCCTGGCTCGGCACCGTGTTCTGCCACGGTCAAGTGCTCTGGGACGAAGCCCCACAGGAGGGACGCTGTGTAAATGCACATTGTTATTGTTGGGTGTTTGGAGTTTACTGCAGCGATTAATGTGATGTAAACACCGTGAGGGTTATGACTCTATCCTTTCCATTTAACTGTCCCCAGGGCACTAATGAAAGAGAATAAGTAATAATCATAATGTCTAATGGATTTAAAACCAACATTTTAGTATAATGTGTTCAAAGGGCTTTGCTCAAACTGTGTGAAGAGTGCACTCAGCACTCATTGTGCTTTCTGTTCCTTGTCTCTGCTGGTGACAGGGTCTCAGGGTTAATGTGGGATTCCCACCTCCTCCCCCCCCCCCCCCTCCGCATACCCAATGTCTAGTTTGGTTCCACAGGCAACGTGCATAGTCCAGTACACTGTCCTCCTCCGCATGTTCCTGCCCAGCAATCACTGTCATGTCGCTTTGTGTGGAGAGATGACCCCAACCCTGTCCTTATCTAAGATCCAGACGCACTCACATTGGGACAGTAAACACACAAGTTGTTGTTGGTGAATGGCTGGGAATGGGAACTCTGGCTCAGTTTTCCCACTTTGAGACATCTTCCCCTTCCACACCTC